TATAAGCAAAATTGAAACTTTATCTTTCTCTCTACCTGATCCCTCCAGAATTTAAAAACTGTCCGTGACTATTTTTATACCTCGTGGCAGTCTGTTTATTCGCATGATTTCAATAGGAATCAGCTTTCCCTGTCAGAGGACCCGTTAAAAACACTGGTTATATTAGCAAGGCTTTGACTGGAATGTGATACCCGAGAGGCACGTGTGTAAACTCAGATAGGAACGGACAGCTTTAAGGAACTAAGGCTGTCTTGATAAAGCCAACAAAGCCCCTTAAAAGAACTGGCCTGGTACCTTGCTTACAGTTTCCAGCAGCCTTACCAGGTGAGTAAGGAAGGTCACTTCCTGGCAGGTATAGGAACTTCAGAATATCTTGGGAACCTCAAGAAGAGAGGAATTCACCCAAATGTACAGGTACTGCAGGCACAACCTGATGGCAAGTCTGGCTTAGCTGTCTGGCCTCGAGAAGCCTTTAAAAGTTCAATCTGAAATTCCTTGCAAAAAGTTCCAGCAAAGCACATTTAAAAGAGCCTATGTAATCAATTACTCTTCTTGCTGCACTTATGCAAATACGTGAGCCAACTGTTAATTATTTTCTTAATCTGGATACTTCTAATAAAAATGAGGGTGATTTTAGAGAAAAGTATTGTTTCAATAATGCAGTCTTATCTATACTAAATCCTAGTACTAGTCATTGAGATGTAAACTCGATCCAGAATTCTAGTTTCCCCATGATACCTGGCTATGATTCTCAATTAGACTCTTCATATTTCTAGTTCTTATATTCAGCCATGCTTTCTTAATCTCATCAAGTTTGTCCTTCCAGAATGGAAAATCCAACTCCAGATGTTGCTACTTAACCTAATAACAGTTTGTTCTATCTTGCCTAGAAGCCACAAAACTGCAAATAGTAACAGAAATGAAACCCAGAATAGAAGCGCCAACCATCCGAGGCGCTCTCAACTGACCAGTGATGGAGACCTAGCTGCACCCTTTACTGAGCCCCCTCTCAGCATGAAGCAGCCAGAGCGGTCATCGTCCCCTTTCCCTAGCAGCAGCTAGAGTCTCTATCTGTAGAGGGGAGAATGAGACAGGGACCATAGGCTTAGACAGAATAAGGTGAGAGCCTCTGTAGAAAGCAAAGCAGGGTATTTGCAGTCAGAGCAATGTAACTACATGCTAGGAAACCACCCTCTACTAAAACTGTTGAACATTCTTCAGTGAGATCAGTTAATGTTCCCCAGATAAAGAAGAGTAGCATGTGTTTTATGATGCTAATCATTTGTAATTGTGTATAAGATTACTTTAGCATACTAAAAGGCCCAGGCCTATGTGCTGTCTTTCCTCCTTCAGATCTGACGAGGTAATTTTGCAAACTGAGCAACTAATTTAGCATGCAGACCCAGATGTAGATGGAATAGTAAAAGGCAGGATTCTTTAGCAAATAGACAATACCTCAGCCCACCTTGGGAGCTGAGCAGGCAGCCTTTTGATATACTCCCAGACCAAGACGCCGGTATCCCAGAGAAAAATCAAGGCAGGAGATTCCTTATGTTAAGTTAATTTTTAATATTCAGAGAACACTTAACAAGTTCTTCCCCAAGGCTTTAGAGATAATCCCCACCTTTTTGGAAAGGCTCTAGCACAAGACCTCAAATCCCTTACTCTAGAGCTCCACCCACCTTCAATATGTAGATGATCTCCTCCCGTGCAGTCCCTCCCTACAAATCTCCAGGATACTATTCTCCTTTTAAACTTTCTCTCAGAACACAGCTATAGAGTTTCACCCTCCACAGTTCAGCTGTCTGCCACTCAGGTCACATACCTGGGATTTCAGCTCTCCCGGCACTACAAGGCCATTACCATAGACAGGAAAAAACTTCTCCAAACCATGCCCATTCCAAACAAAGGCACCATCCCTAACTCCCAAATGGCAAGGACCATACACCGTAATCCTTTCCACGCCAACTGCAGTTAAACTCCAGGGTCTTCCCCACTACATACACAACTCCAACCGTAAACCATGTGTCTCAGTTTATTCCCCTCCCACCAAATCTCCCACAGGTTCCTACTCCACCCTGACGGGACCTCTTACTCTCCGCCTTTCGCGCTGCTCACTTCCGCTTTCATTCATCACTGAGGAAGTTTCTGCCAGCACGGAGTCCTAAGACCTCCCTTACACCAGCCATGCGTCATGCCTCAGGATTGTTAACCCTTGTCTCAACACTTACTCTTTTCACCAGACCTATGTTCCCAATGCCAGCCCTTTCTTCTCTTTCAGACTGTCCAAAAAATTGCACCATCAAGGATTCCCTTTGCCCTACAGGTTGCTTTTCTGCCTACACATAGGTCCCAAGAAATGCTATTAATTCAGCCACCCTATGTAAACATAGCAATCAGCCCAAATGCAAAAAATTTCTGACCTTACAGGATTACCAACCCCTCTCCAAAGACGATGATCCTTATTGAACCTTGAAAATGCCATCGCCACTGCAGACCAAGGGCTCATCTGAGGACCACCCCCCATCAATACAAAAATGAACTTCATCGCCCCTAATCAGCAGAAAGCAGTTACTGCAGACTGACCATCACCCCTTCCCAAATCCTCTACCACTTATAAAACAGAAAAGGGAGGAATGTAAGAAAATAGTAATCCTCCATTTGCCTCATGGTCCCAAGCACATAAGCCAGTGAGAATTATGCCTGGGCTTGCCTGGGGCTTGACTGGGCTTACCCCGCTTTATCTCTAAACATCCCGACCCTCCCCCAAAGTAACAGGCTGAGCAGATGGCCACAATAAAAGGCACCACGCTGCTGCCCTCTGTCTCTGTGTGTCTGTCTCGCTGCTCTCTGTCTCTCTGTTCCGCTGCCCTCTCTCTCTCTTTGTCTCTGTCTCTCTCTTTGTCTCTCTCTCTCTCTCTCTCCCCCCACCCCCTTCTGGGGGCAGCCACTTTCTCCTTTAGATAATAAAATCTCTTGCGTGGGCCCATGTCTCCTGAGTCATTCTGGGTAAGGAGGGTCGCGGCGAGATACCCTTTCAATATGCAGATGTACCAAAGCCAGGCAAGATATTCTGGAAATACAATTTTATCCATAACTCTCTTCCACTTTCTTAATCTCTGAATTTTTAAATGTTTCGCAGTTGGGATTTCTCTAGTTTGACATCCACACAACCACGGCGATTGCATTTTAATGAAAGGCCAAGTCATGTGACTTCACTCAGCCAAGAGGGGCTGTGGATTTGCAGATACTAAGTGGATGTGTGAAGAATGGGAGATTGTAACTCTGGTGGGTGGGGGAGATCCCAGAGTAAAGTTAACTTTGAAATCGAAATCAGTCAAAGGGAGAAATAAAGTGGGAGAAACCCGTCTATTTCTAACAAGCAGTCGGCCCGCGCAACTGCAGAAGAGCCCAACCTCTCTAATCCAGATAAGCAGGGGTAATGTAACTACCTATTGATATGGAGGTAATAATTTCTCCCCACCCCTCTTAATATGGAAACACATTAATATGGAGATGCACTAAGGCCAGACCAGAGATTCTGGAAATATTGCATTTTTACCCACAGAGGTAAAGGTGGGTAACTTTGTATGGAAGACAGTTCACTATTATCCCCAGTATTACCTTAAAAATGGAACTGTCAGTTATTTTTACCAGCAAAATGGGTTTATTGGGAAACAGGGAATTGCAATTCCAGACAAGCAAACTGGCAAAAACACAGCATGTTGGAGCACAATGAAGGGGCCCTTTAATATAAAAAAGGGAGGAAGAGTTGGACTGTTTTAAGCAAAAAGTCCATTGGTGGAAACTGGCCATCTGTCATGGCTGCTCATAGGCTGGGATCTTTGTTCATTGTGACAGCCTCTCACTGTGGGCTGTAAACGGGGGAGGCAGAAACTCTTCCCTACCCAGGTGATAAAAGAGCCAAAACAGAACGAGTGGTAAGGTGTCTGTCTCTTCTTAACTGTGGGTCTGCCACTGACCAGAGAGCGTAGTGGGTGAGAGCTCCCCTTGCAGGCTTCCGAACTCAGTGAGGCTTCCCTTTATCAATTTTCACAGCAGGGACTATAATCACTGTCTCGATTCTATCTCCAGAATGCTTCCTGAATCTGTTCACAGTCCTTTCAAGCCTCTATCTCTTGCCTGAAATACTATTTATTGCAAAAGCTTTATAACAATTTTTGCTGTCTTTACTCTCATTCTCCTGAAATCTGTCTTACAATGCCACAAGATAATAGTGTGATGATTAAATAAAAGCTTTATAAACTTTAAAGCACTCCACAAATATAAAGTAGTGATGGGGAAGAAAAAAATAGCTCTATATGACTTATCTGCATAAAAACTTTCTATGATTGGTTTATTACCTGAAGAATAAAGACCAAAGCTCCACACATGGTCTTAAGCATCTTTATAGCCTAAACCAAACATAACTTTGCCGTCTCCTCTTAATGACTCTTTCCTCATCAGACAATACTGTTCCTTGACCATGTCATTAATTTCCATACTACTTACTCCATCTGCTTATAAGTCTCCATCTCTTCTTGGCCCCGGAAGCTCTATTCACCTTTTAAAACCTGGATCACAGGCCAAACTTTCTAGCAAACTATAAAGGTTACCTTCGCAAAATCAATGCCTCCTTCCTTTGGGATCCTACAAATCTCCACTTAAGTACCACAGCTAGATTAAAATTCCAGCCACTAGCTGGAATTTCTTTCTTCCCTCCAAAAGCTCTATTTCCCAGTTTCATCCATCCGTCGTTGCTTCTTTAACTCCACTACCTCCAGGGACATGGAAAGCGCCTGCCACCGGGACTTGACTTGAAGTCTCAGAGCTACCTGAGAAGCCCAGTCCACTTTACGTAGTTCAGGAACAATTCAGAAACTGCCTTTGGGTTCCAGGCTATTTCCCAGAGCGCTGAGGGGCTAAAGCCTGGGCGAGTGCCGGCGAGGCATACTGGGAGATGTAGTCTCCACCGGGCCCCACTACCTCTTGGGGGGTGTAGTCCTCGATCTGGTAAAAGAAGAAGGCGGCAACTCCCAAGCTTTGAATTAGTTCTTAGGAGGAAAAGGAAGAGGCGATCCAGAATATAACGTGAGGTGAATTTCCGTGGGCCCTCTCTCCTGGTCTTGAGCAGAGGCCGGAACAGGCGGGTCCGAGGAGGGCGGGGAGTCGTTACGTTGACGCGGGCGTGCCCCTGCCCGAGAATTTGGCGGGATTTCCGAAAGCCGCCCGGCGGAACGCGCGGCGCCCTGAGGCCGAGGCCTGAGGGGAACCGAGACGCGTCCCGGGGCGTGTAGTTGGGCGCTCGAACTTGCCTGGGCTTGTTTGCAGAAGGTTGGAGAACGGAGTAGATCAGTGGGGTGCAAGCGAGGGAGTCTGCAGTCCGTCCGGGGTGGGTTCGCGTCGGGGCAGAGGACTGAAGTCGGAAAGCGCTGCCCGCCCCC